GAAATTTTTTTTCGAATGGTATCTTATTATCTATATAACTAGAAAAATTGATAGCCATTTCCGTTGTTCTGCGATATGAGTAAAATAAATAAAAGCTTGTAAAGTTAGGTAATTATAGGCCAGTGCAGGTAAACGTAATACTTTCTTTGATAATTGATACTAGTTGCACAATTTTTAAGGCAGCTACCGCCAATGTGCAGGTATGTTGAATGCATCTATCGGAGCAGTTTCCTTATAAATGTTAAAAATAATGTCTCAGATGCGCATTTTGGGGTAGGTATCTTAAATGTGCACTTAAGCATAAAGGCAGCAAAGCAAAATATACTGTATATGAAGAATATGATAAACATAATAATAACAAGTAAGAGCAGCGCTGTCTTCGGCTATGCCGAAGGCTTCATACCTTTCATGAACATCTGAAAACTTTACTTTAACAGATTACTGCATTTGAAAAAATGTATATATTCACAGCACACAAAGATAGAGGAGTTACATATATAAAAAATCTTATCTAAACAATCAGAGGTATGCAGGATATACCCTATACCAATCAAAGTGATTTTCACTGCTGTGCGATCGATATGTAAACCGGTAACACAATTTAATGCGTTTAGCTTCTTACATAAAGGAGATATATCGCAAAAACTGGTATAGGAACAATCAGTGGTATAAGAGATAAATCTTATACAGCATAGATTTTGACGATTTTCTCAGTAGACTTTGTATTATTATTTATACAATAGCTTACGAAATTTATCGGTTTTAGCTGTCCAAACATATTAGTTTACACTAAAACCCCATATATGAACAATCAGTTATATGGAGGCAATATATAAGTTACAGTGACCCGATCTTTGTTAATTTTACTGTAAACTATCTGTTGATAATGAGTGAAAATAGTGCGAAATATCATGTTTCTAGCTGCATATATTTAGAAGATATAACAAAGAATCTCATATCTGAACAATCAGTTGTATGGAAGCTATATGTAAATGTGACCCGATCTTTGTTATTTCCACTGTAAGAATTCTGCTGATAATCGTTGGAAGTATTGCAAAATTTCATGTTCCTAGGTACATAAATCGAGGAGTCATAATGAAAATTCTCATAACTGAACAATCAGTTGAATGGGAGATATATGTTATAGTGACCCGATCTTTGTTATTTTCACTGTAAATATTCTGTTAATAACGAGTAAAAACGGTGAGAATTTTCATGTTCCTAGCTGCATAAATGGAGAAGTTATGGAAAAAAATCTCATATCTGAACAATCAGTTGTATGGAGGCTATAGGTTATAGCGACCCGATCTTCGTCATTTTCTCTGAAAGTATTCTTTTGATAATGAGTGACAACAGTTCAAAATTTCATGTTACTAGTTACTTAAATGGAAGAGTTATAACGAAAAATATTATATCTGAACAATCAGCAGTACGATAGCTATAAGTTATACCGACCCGATCTTTGTAATTTTCATTCTGAGTTCTCTGTTAATAATGGGTGGAAGTATTGCACAATTAAATTTTCTTAGCTGCATAAATGGAGAAGTTATAACGAAATATCTCATATCTGAACAATCAGTTGTATGGGAGCTATATGTTATAGTGGTCCGATTCTTCCGGTTCCGACAAATGATTAATACATTATGAAAATACACCCACCTACCAAATTTGATCTGGATATCTCGAAAACTGAGAGACTAGATTGCATACAAACAGCCGGACAGACAGACAGACAGACAGACGACCAGACGGACATGACTACATCGACTCAGCTCGACATTCTGATCATTTAAGTATACATTTTGATGGGTCTATCTCTTCTTATTCTGGTACTTACAAACATCGGACCAAAGTTATAATACCACTTCATGCTCATGAAAGGTATAAAAACAAAGATAAATGTAAAGAAAAAGATGAGGATGAGGATACCGATAAAAGTATAGATGAAGATAGAGGAAGAAAGATTAAAATAAAGGTAGTTTTAGAGAAAAGGATATAGATAGAAGCACAGAGACTCAATCTGGGAACTATTTTGTCATTTTAGAGATTT